TTCACCAAAAATAAATAAGGTTTAGAATTAAATATTATGAGTACATAGATTAAGTAGGCATACAGGAAAATCAAGTGATTATCAATAATAATAAATATACCAAGTAAATTTAATAAATCGATAATGTTTGTACAGAGTTACTTGGCAGAGTTATATCGTTGATACGTGTCTGTTTCAGGAGTTAGGTTGGAGGTTCATATGTATAGCCACCATACCACTCTGGGTAGACACACGAGGTGACTCAATCCCACCTATCATCGATAACCGTCAAAACTCGTGGCATTATTGATATTTAAGAATTGACAATTAATTATGATAAATCCCATATTAATAAAATAAAGATCATTTTATTTTTCTATCATCTTCTATCTTTCTTACAGACCCTCGTACTCATATCCCGAGTAATAATATTATTAATACAATAAAGTAATGGATCAAATAAAAATCAAAATTCCGTCATATTCTATTTAACTTATTTCTTTTGAGCAACTGCCAAAGTAGCTCCCTAAATTAATAACCCCCTAATTATTATCATTATTAATACAATAAAGTATTTAAGTATTTAAATTATATATATATTTTTTTCTTCTTTTTTTGATTCACTACACAATATAACTAGTGTCTAACTTCAATTTGTAGAACAATAAAATATAAATTTAAAAACATAATTGTCAATATTCTAATTATAATAATTTTGTCAGCCTGAAATTTAATTAGGAATCACCGTGCTTCAGTAGGTGTTTATGAAATAAAACTATATGAAATGAAAGAGCAAGATGATAACCCACTTGTAACAATATTTTCCAGATTTCCAAGCAAAAAATTCTTAAATATTTCGTTATATAATTTAATAATTATATGTTTTCATAATTAGTTCAGTATAGGATTTTAATGTTTTGTATAAAAACAAATTTTATGAGATTGAAATTTTTTAAAAGAAAATAGTTTTTTTTTACGAATAAATCATCATGTTATCTTAATATAAAAACAAGAATAATAAAAAATATATAATAATTAACAAAGATATTATAATTCTAATTTGAATTATATTATATATATTTTATAGGGTGGCTACTATTTACATATGAAGGAAAATTTTTTTGCGAAACTTAAGAAGCGCCGGGCGTAAATTTATTCTTTTATGGCTAAAAATAATCTCTAAAAATTTGAGCTTTATACTACTTGATTAACTGGACGCATATAAAGCTCAAAGTTTTGGAAAAATATGAAAAATTTCAGTGCTTTACATTTTCAGGCTACAGACTTAGTTTTACGAAAAATATTATTATATATAATATTGTAGCTATTGTAATTTTCTATAAAGCTCTTCTTACAATTTTGTGTTTAGTTACTAGTTAATACTTTTTGGTTAAAATAATAAAACTCGACAATACTCGTTTTTTATGAAAGTTTCAATTAAGGAGCTAAAAGTAGTAAACGATTCAGCTAAAAGGGACATAAAAATTATACAATATTTCAATAAAAGTATAACAAGAAACGAATTACAAAAACAGTTCTTGTTACAAGTAAATATATATTTTTGTTAAAAAGTGACTTTTAATGTATAAGATTAATTATTTTTAAAAATAATTTTTTAGGTGGTAAAAGATTATAGAACTCAATACCCTCGGCGACAAAAAAAGTTTTGAATCAGGCCTATAATAAATAAATTCTTTGATTTCAATAGTAAATAATATAGAATATATACATATAACTGCATTTTTATTATAATTATTTTTTTTTAAGCGTTTTGTAAAAGTATTGGGCAATTATTTTGAATATTTTTATCAATACTTCAAAAACTATCAGATTTTAGGGATATTATCTAATTATCTTTTTATTTAAAATATTATTTTAAACAAATTTTATGTTTAGAATTTATTTTATAATACGAAAACTAAACTAGATAATTACAAAAAGTCTAATAGTTTCATTACAAAGACAACAAGCGATTATTCGTATTTACTATTTTAACAAATGTAAAACATTCATTACTAAAAATCATAACAAGATACTTCATAAAAAATTATAAGAAATTATAAAAATTTAATAATTACACAGAGTGTGTTTATAATACATAAAAAGTTCAGAACTTGATAGCATTACGCATCAAACGATGAAAAATTATCATATCACCGTAAGTCCANTCAAATGATGAAAAATAATCATATCACCGTAAGTTCAGCTACAAAGTCTTGGTGATTGACAGAAAATTTTAAATAACACGTATAAAGTAATTTTAATAATTTGTTGAGATAATAATTTTAAATTGAAGGATTTGAAGGCACAAATTATAAATAACATAAAAACTGATCAAACTACCACAATAGAATTAGCGGCTGTTTTCGAATGACCGGCTGANTGAGCCGCTGTTTTTGAATGATCGGCTGAAACTTCATTCAACAGTTTCCATCATCCGTCAAAATTTTTAAAAGTATCTTTTCGAGCTAAAAATAATTTTTTTATTTTAAAAATTATGCACATTTTACAACTTAAATAATTAATATAAATTAAAATATTGTAAGTCAAATACTGAAAAATAGTTACATTCATTGCCACTGAACAAATTTGAATCCACTTAATTTGAATGTCTGTGGCCCATTTATGAACCATAATTATTGAATCTAGATAATCCAACTTTTTAATAACTTTTTTAGACGTTTTAACAATCCAATCCTTTTCATGCTGTTTAGTTTTGATTTTTTGCATGAAATGGCGCAAACATATTAGTCTGGCCCGTGCGGTAGTTTTATCAACTCGGATCAACTCTGATCCGAGAGACGAAATAATTTGATCCATTGTATTTAACCATTTCATCATAGGATAAATAGATTTGTGCAACTCGAGCTGAAAAAATTAATTCAATCAATCGTTGGATAATATATAATTTTGGAACTTACCTTTTGCTGAAACGTCAATGGCTTTATCCAATTAACAATGGTGTGTTTCCAGCTTTTGGAAGCCTTCATTGAAGGCATAGCAGTATCTAAAATTATAATATACGATAAAATTGTTACATTATTAGCAATTTAAAACAAATAGTATTCGTTTAACTATTACATAAAAAATGATCTACTTACTTTCAAGACACTTGAGGAAACTTTGCGTTTCATGCATAGGAGTTGAAATATTCATAGTGTCTTGTTCTAATACTTGATGATCCGCTTGAAAAGTTTTAAATGAAAATTTTTTTAAAATGGAGCAAGACATTGAAAAATAATTTCACACTTGATTACACTCTAACGATTCCAGAACTAACTGATGACAAAATTATTTTTGTGTTTATAAATTCATATAATTAAACAAACACGTTTACATGGAAAAAGATAAACAATTTTTTCTATGTTAAAAAATCAACCAGCACATTATTCCCAGTTATTTTAAAATAATATAAATAGCTCTTTTGAAGTGCATTAAAATGAATTGAACGTTTACACATAGAAACAAACTTAATATTAATCAGTAGCATAGCTACAATCTTTACGAGAGAGAAGAGAATTAAAAAGATTATTTTTATTATTTCATAATAAAATTATTTTAGAGGGCTTTTTCTTTGTTCAAATAGTTCCAAGTACAATTTTTAGTAAATAATTAAGTAGTCACTGTAATTTTGAGGGAAGCTGCAGCTTTTCACCCCTTCCCTGACTATGTCACTGTAACATTAAATCTTTAATTTTAATTTGTACAATAATTTGATTTAGTTACTAATTAATATTGATTATATCTTAATTTTAAAAAATACTGCAATAATATTTTCATTATTAATGAAGAAAATTAGTTTATAGATTCCAGATGATATGCTAATATGAAAAAATAATAATTAGAGTTACAATTTGTTTCATTTTTTGAAAAAAAAAACAATTGTTGTTCCTTTATGTAATGATTACGTTTCCAAATTTTGTTACAATACGTTAATTTTAAGAGAAGTGTGAATTTACTGAAGTAATTACTTTCTCGTAACAATCCCAGACTTATGCGATCAATTAATTGAAATACAAGGGAAGGAGAGACCCTTTATTTTTACATAAAACAATATATATGTGCAGTTATCTTTAATCTAATTTTGAAGTAAAGTTTACATAGCTATAAATTCAACGGATTAAAATTGTTTATAGAATTTATTAATGTAGTATTTTTAGAAAAAAATGGTTAATATGTGAAAAAAATGTGCATATATTTATAAAATAAGTTTTAAAAAATATTTTGTAATTTTCAGTCTGTGTACATCTGTTTTGTCCAGTTGACTGTGATTGATTAGCGGCCATCCGACCTGAAGAGTGCTAGCTCTAACTCATAACGGTTGTATTACACGGCTAACTGATTTTGACTAATTTTATTTGAAATAAATTTAATTACTTTGCTTGCTTTAATTATTAGGTCGGTCGGTATTTTATTTATTGTTGATTACAATGTAATATGTACTACAACGGCCGATAAGATCCAAATGTTTTTGATTTTTTTGTATGTGTATATTTATTTATATTCAGTTATGGGATTATTTATAGAATTGTGTGTAATGGAGTTCATCTTATTACATAAACAGCAATTTTAGTTTATATATATATATATATATATATATATATCTTTAATGATGAATGTATAACAGCAATGACATCTTTATTTATTAAAAAGTATAATGGATAGTTGTGCGACAATGAAATATTTAAATCTTTTTTTTTTTTTTATGTTCCCATTATGGTAGTGACTGTATTGATTAATGTGATTTGTAAATTTTAGATTGTGCACGGTCTTTGGTAAAGCTACAAAATTTTCACTTCTGTTGTTGTACTCATAACGTGTTGATAGTTCTGTGCTGCTGGTTTTTTTTTAGCCTATGCTTGCCCTTCCTTACTGTTCGTCGCCGTTCCTCCAAAATGGTACTGTAAGCTTTTCGTTAGTTGTTATCTTGGATTTTATTTTCATTTATATTGTTTACTTTTCAGATCGCGTGTCAAACCTCGATTCCATAAGATTTTGCCACTCGACAACAGAGGATCATCACGATTTCTACGTGCAGTCCGCTCTTGGAGTTCGTCGAAAACGTTTATTTCTTATTTAATTTACAACGTCATTCCTTTACCAATATTATTGTATCGGTTTACGTTCGGGTCTCTCATTAAACCGTATTTTTCTAATAATAATTATATCAATTTGTATTTCGAGTATATTTCTTCAATAAGACCGAAATTTTTTTATGTGTGTGATTGCAACAATAAATAAACATTAATTAATAAAGAAACTTTAATTTTTTTATTTTTAAAAGAAACTAATATCCTATGTTTATAATATTATTTACCATAGGTCGAAAAATAATAAAGTCTATGTGTGTTTAAAACATATTGCTCTATCACGATTTAAATTGCAATTGTTTATTTTTCTTATTATATCGGTGATTAATTAATAATAATTATATTAATGCATTAAATTTATATTTCGAGTATTGTGTTTCAATATGAATAAAACCTTTTTTTTTTTTTATGTGTGTTGTTGCCCGATAATGAAACATGATTTTTCCTATCTATATTAGTTTTTTTTATTTGAAAAAATAATAATTTTTTATTTCATAAATAAAAGAAATAATAAAAAAAAAAAAAAGAACAATTTTTTTTGTGTGCTATATTTTTACAAACATTATGACTTCATTATCCGATATAAAAAATATCGTATCTAGTATTACATTTTATGCATGGAAATTATCGTACACGGCGACTCTTAGTCAATTATTATACAATAAACTTTCGATTCGTATTCGTTTTGTTCGAATGACAAACAATGCACAATTGTATTATTTTCAAATTTACAAGTTTAAATATTTATTTATTTAGCGAATACTTGGAATATTCGTTATGGTCTACTCCATTAAATACATTCAACGTACTTTAATTTCAAATAGTCTACTTTTTAACCCCTATTCGATATGAGTGACCGTGTCACATGATCTTGATTTGCATCAAGGTATTTTTTTATGATAATGATTTTAATCACTGTCACATATCTATATTGCAGCCAATTATACACACTGTACCGAGACACTGTTGGTTTTTTTTTTTTATATAGCGATTAGTTGAAATAGTAGCAATGGGTTTACTTTAATTATTTCATTATTAATTTTAATGTTATTGAAGAAAGAGTTATTACTTTATTTGACCTTTTAAGATTTATATCATGTAATATTCACCATTATTAACCATTTAGTGTTATTATCTACCATTTAGTTTACTAGAACAAGACTAATATTATACACTTTATGACAATTAATTTTATCATTACCAGAAATACCGGCTGGGTTGACAAAAGAGAACATGAGGTAGGTGACATAAGGAGATCAATTACATTAGGGAACAACGTCAATAGGAAGGTGGAAAGTTTTAAGTATTTAGAATCAGTTGTGCAAAAGAGCGAAGGTATTGACGAGGATGTAAGACACAGAATTAAGTGTGGGTGGTTGAACTGGAGAGAAGCGTCTGGCGTCTTTTGCGATAAAAGAATTCCAATGAAGTTGAAAGGTAAATTCTACAAGACTGTAATAAGGCCAGCTATGATGTATAGTTCAAAGTGTTTGGGCGGTTGATAAGAAAGTAGAGCAGAGATGAGAATGCTTAGATGGATGAGTGGAGTGACGAGAAAAGATAGAATAAGGAACAAGAATATAAGAGGGAGTATAGGTGCAGCATCAGTCGTGGATAAGATGAGAGAAAATAGACTTAGATGGTATGGTCATGTTATGAGGAGTGAAGAATCAGAAGCTGTAAGAACAGTTATAGAAATGAATGTTGAAGGAAGAAGAGGTAGAGGAAGACCAAAAAAGAGTTGGAGGGATGGTATTGAATGCGATATGAGGATAGCTGATGTGAGCGAAGAAGATGTGGGAGATCATGTCAAGTGGAAGTTTAAGAAAAGGGTGGCCTACCCCAAGTAGTTGGGATTAAGGCAAAAAAAAAGAAGAAGATTACCAGAAATTCCGGTGACAATTGACATCATATAATTGTTGTTTGGGAATGTATAATTTAGCGTTTGGTTGGGTTTAAACAATATAGCGCCAAATCAATTATCTACTCCGGTTGTATCTTAATGTACACGAAAACTTTAATGATTCTATAAATAAATAAACTCACACATACACACATATGCATTTATAACATTGTGTCTAATGTAAGTATAACATGAAAAAAAATTACCATAAAATGGAAAAAATTGATAATAAGTTTTAGCACTCATATTAAATGTAATGTAACTTTAAAAATATTTATTGAAATGAAAAAATAGAAGATATTTTTTTTTTGTTTAAAATTGTCTTTTAAACAACTTTTGTACGAAACTTTTTTTTGTAAGTTAAATATTTTTTGAGAAAATTAAAAACGCTCATATTTTTGAACTTTTGCAAGGCTGTAAAAAAAAAGCTCAATTACAATCAATGAGGACTTTTAGTTTGTCATTATACATATCTCAATTCAACTTTTTCAAAAAAAAAAAATTTGGTTGGGAATTTTTTCCGCTATTCGACAAAATTACTCCTTCGTTGATCGGCCTATTATAATAGATATATTAATAATTATTAATATATATTTTTACGCCGTTGTAATGATTGTAAAAAAACCACAAATTATGTTAAATTTATATGGATTTTATATAGTTTGAATAAAAATTATATGTTTAATCCTGTACAGTTTATAATAATTCTAATTCATATAACACATTATCATTACATACAACGTTTATGTTAAACTGCTAAAACGTTTTAAAATAATTTAAAGCAGTTTGAAAAAAAAAAATTAATAAATTAGGTTTTATATTCAATTTCTAAAACAGTTTTTATATAAAATATAATTCAAATTGTTTTAAACAAAGTTAGGTTAAATGAAAATACTAATAAATAATCTCTGTTTAAATAACTAATTTAATACCGTTCTAAAATAAATAAAACCGTTTAGATGATATAAATAAAAGTTTATTAAAACTAACATAACAAATACCATACTAAATATTTTTAAAATCATGAGAATTATCACTATCCTTAATAACCCCGAAAAAAAAGTGTTGAAGACACTTGCCTGAAACTAAAAAAAATATGATTGTAGAAGTACCATCATATCGATTTTCACATTAGGTATATGACATCAATTTCTACAAGTAAACGATCAAAGCTAAATTAATAGCAGTACCTAACAGATAGGTACACTACGAAAATAGTTTATCCTGATAGATTAAATTTAGGTTGAAAACTTCAATATAATAGATATTGAAGTTATAAAAATAGC